TATTAACGTTAAACCAATGCACTGATTTTGATATAGCATTATTCACTTCGTCACATTTAAATGATTGACGTTTAAGTTTAAAAATCAAGTAAGTATCATCAGCAAATAATACTATATCATGACTATCCCCTACAAGGTGAGGTAAGTCATTAATATACACCAGAAACAGGAATGGGCCGAGAATCGAGCCCTGAGGAACACCCATTAGTACAGGTGACCCGGAAGAACTTTTACCATTGATAATAACCTTCTGTTTTCTATTACTTAAATATGAAATAATAAGTTTAAGCGCTGTGTTCTTGACACCATAGTACTGTAGCTTCCTGATTAATGTCTCATGGTGAACACAGTCGAAGGCCTTGGAAAGGTCACAAAATATACCCAAAGCATCCTCTGAATTCTCCCATGCACAAAAAATATGTTTAATAAGCTCAACTCCAGCGTCAGTTGTCGAGCGACCCCTTGTAAAACCGGATTGATTTTGTAGTGTTATGCTACTTACATATCATTTTACATTATTTTAAATTGATTTTTCCATTCTGTTTCGATTTTCTGCATTCACCTCAAAACTGGATATTTTCTATCACCTTTATTTCCATAGGATCCTGTAACGATTTTAAACCATAAGAACACAATAACAAATCATTTCTACTTCGTATTTTCACATTATCAGCACTTTTAAATTGGTGTCAATGGAGTCTACCTTTTTTCGATCTTTTATTTAGTTTTCCGTAACTCTGCAATTTCGGGCTTTGTGCGGGCAGTTGCGCTACCTTTTTTCCTATATCAATAATATCTCATTTTTCACTTAAATCTTGCCGTTTTTTTATTACAAGCCTAAAATCAAAATTTGACATGTTTTGACATTGTTGTTTATTTGGTCTCTATGGCAATTATATTCAAATTTGCTACCGGTCTGTTGTTTCTATTTCGATAATTCCACATAAATACTCTTTTCTCTTGACGATTTAAAAAAAATTGCGTTTAATTTAAATAATTTTTCCGTTCTCTCTAGAAAGGTATAAAAGCTGAACAATCGGTGAAGAAATTCAGTCTCGCTTCAGTTCTCGAATTGGAAGCATCTTCTAAAGGCCTTATCCCGGGGCCGCACTGCCCCGGGATCCTGCAAGCCTCTGTCCTGCCTGAAGCCACTGGACTCTACGAACCACTGCTCTACCTGAATTCGCCGGATCCTACAAACCGTTGCTCTGCCTGAAGTCGCCGGGATACTACAAGTCTCTGCTCTACCTGGAGTCGCCGGAATCTGCAAACCTCTGTTCCGCCTGAAGTCACGGGAACCTGCAAACCTCTGTCCCGCCTGCAGTCACCGGATCCTGCAGGCCTCTGTGCTGTCTGAAGTCGCTGAGGATCCTGCAAGCCCCTGTCTGTCCTGAAATCGCCGGATCCTGCAATCACCACATTCACCTGAGGTCGTCGCCTAGAGACGCCCTCGCCTTCTCACCTACGCCGTGCGTGCTTGTTCCAGGCGCTGAGAGCACACTTTGGATCTTCAGACTCAGCTTCGACACTAATCTTTTTTTTTATTACCTTTTTTTAAATATTTTGTAAATCACATCATCCATCCTCATCTTCATACTCCATTTTTGTTATATAAAATTGTAAATATCTTTTGAATCTTAAATATATTATTTGTTTTGTTGTATTTTTGTTGTTTTGTTGCTCTTAGGTTAGATTCTTTTTGTTCTTTATTGTCGCTTCACGACATTTTGGTCGGGGGGAAAATGTAGTGTTATGCTACTTACATATCATTTTACATTTTTTTAAATTCATTTTTCCATTCTGTTTCGATTTTCTGCATTCACCTCAAAACTGGATATTTTACATCACCTTTATTTCCATAGGATCCTGTAACGATTTTAAACCATAAGAACACAATAACAAATCATTTCTACTTCGTATTTTCACATTATCAGCACTTTTAAATTGGTGTCAATGGAGTCTACCTTTTTTCGATCTTATATTTAGTTTTCCGTAACTCTGCAATTTCGGGCTTTGTGCGGGCAGTTGGGCTACCTTTTTTCCTATATCAAAAATATCTCATTTTTCACTTAAATCTTGCCGTTTTTTTATTACAAGCCTAAAACCAAAATTTGACATGTTTTGACATTGTTGTTTATTTGGTCTCTATGGCAATTATATTCAAATTTGCTACCGGTCTGTTGTTTCTATTTCGATAATTCCACATAAATACTCTTTTCTCTTGACCATTTACAAAAAAATTGCGTTTAATTTAAATAATTTTTCCGTTCTCTCTAGAAAGGTATAAAAGCCGAACAATCGGTGAAGAAATTCAGTCTCGCTTCAGTTCTCGAATTGGAAGCATCTTCTAAAGGCCTTATCCCGGGGCCGCACTGCCCCGGGATCCTGCAAGCCTCTGTCCTGCCTGAAGCCACTGGACTCTACGAACCACTGCTCTACCTGAAGTCGCCGGATCCTACAAACCGTTGCTCTGCCTGAAGTCGCCGGGATACTACAAGTCTCTGCTCTACCTGGAGTCGCCGGAATCTGCAAACCTCTGTTCCGCCTGAAGTCACCGGAACCTGCAAACCTCTGTCCCACCTGCAGTCACCGGATCCTGCAGGCCTCTGTGCTGTCTGAAGTCGCTGAGGATCCTGCAAGCCCCTGTCTGTCCTGAAATCGCCGGATCCTGCAATCACCACATTCACCTGAGGTCGTCGCCTAGAGACGCCCTCGCCTTCTCACCTACGCCGTGCGTGCTCGTTCCAGGCGCTGAGAGCACACTTTGGATCTTCAGACTCAGCTTCGAAACTAATCTTTTTTTTTATTACCTTTTTTTAAATATTTTGTAAATCACATCATCCATCCTCATCTTCATACTCCATTTTTGTTATATAAAATTGTAAATATCTTTTGAATCTTAAATATATTATTTGTTTTGTTGTATTTTTGTTGTTTTGTTGCTCTTAGGTTTGATTCTTTTTGTTCTTTATTGTCGCTTCACGACATTTTGGTCGGGGCGAAAATGTAGTGTTATGCTACTTACATATCATTTTACATTTTTTTAAATTCATTTTTCCATTCTGTTTCGATTTTCTGCATTCACCTCAAAACTGGATATTTTACATCACCTTTATTTCCATAGGATCCTGTAACGATTTTAAACCATAAGAACACAATAAAAAATCATTTCTACTTCGTATTTTCACATTATCAGCACTTTTAAATTGGTGTCAATGGAGTCTACCTTTTTTCGATCTTATATTTAGTTTTCCGTAACTCTGCAATTTCGGGCTTTGTGCGGGCAGTTGGGCTACCTTTTTTCCTATATCAAAAATATCTCATCTTTCACTTAAATCTTGCCGTTTTTCTATTACAAGCCTAAAACCAAAATTTGACATGTTTTGACATTGTTGTTTATTTGGTCTCTATGGCAATTATATTCAAATTTGCTACCGGTCTGTTGTTTCTATTTCGATAATTCCACATAAATGCTCTTTTCTCTTGACCATTTACAAAAAAATTGCGTTTAATTTAAATAATTTTTCCGTTCTCTCTAGAAAGGTATAAAAGCCGAACAATCGGCGAAGAAATTCAGTCTCGCTTCAGTTCTCGAATTGGAAGCATCTCCTAAAGGCCTTATCCCGGGGCCGCACTGCCCCGGGATCCTGCAAGCCTCTGTCCTGCCTGAAGCCACTGCACTCTACGAACCACTGCTCTACCTGAAGTCGCCGGATCCTACAAACCGTTGCTCTGCCTGAAGTCGCCGGGATACTACAAGTCTCTGCTCTACCTGGAGTCGCCGGAATCTGCAAACCTCTGTTCCGCCTGAAGTCACCGGAACCTGCAAACCTCTGTCCCGCCTGCAGTCACCGGATCCTGCAGGCCTCTGTGCTGTCTGAAGTCGCTGAGGATCCTGCAAGCCCCTGTCTGTCCTGAAATCGCCGGATCCTGTAATCACCACATTCACCTGAGGTCGTCGCCTAGAGACGCCCTCGCCTTCTCACCTACGCCGTGCGTGCTTGTTCCAGGCGCTGAGAGCACACTTTGGATCTTCAGACTCAGCTTCGACACTAATCTTTTTTTTTTTATTACCTTTTTTTAAATATTTTGTAAATCACATCATCCATCCTCACCTTCATACTCCATTTTTGTTATATAAAATTGTAAATATCTATTGAATCTTAAATATATTATTTGTTTTGTTGTATTTTAACCACTGCTCTACCTGAAGTCGCCGGATCCTACAAACCGTTGCTCTGCCTGAAGTCGCCGGGATACTACAAGTCTCTGCTCTACCTGGAGTCGCCGGAATCTGCAAACCTCTGTTCCGCCTGAAGTCACCGGAACCTGCAAACCTCTGTCCCGCCTGCAGTCACCGGATCCTGCAGGCCTCTGTGCTGTCTGAAGTCGCTGAGGATCCTGCAAGCCCCTGTCTGTCCTGAAATCGCCGGATCCTGCAATCACCACATTCACCTGAGGTCGTCGCCTAGAGACGCCCTCGCCTTCTCACCTACGCCGTGCGTGCTCGTTCCAGGCGCTGAGAGCACACTTTGGATCTTCAGACTCAGCTTCGACACTAATCTTTTTTTTTATTACCTTTTTTTAAATATTTTGTAAATCACATCATCCATCCTCATCTTCATACTCCATTTTTGTTATATAAAATTGTAAATATCTTTTGAATCTTAAATATATTATTTGTTTTGTTGTATTTTTGTTGTTTTGTTGCTCTTAGGTTAGATTCTTTTTGTTCTTTATTGTCGCTTCACGACAATTTTTTGTAGCAATTTATTAATATTAAAGTAACTTAACATCTGATCTAAAATAATTTTTTCAAAAATTTTTCTTTATCTTGGTAGTACAGAAATTGGTCTAGAATTGGCGGGGTCTAATGTACTACCAGATTTAAATACAGATATGACTTTACTACGTTTTATTAAATCAGGAATCACACCAGAAACGACACAGATATGAGAGTGATAGATGGAATTAATGAAGTGGTTAATCAGATTCCATTAATGAGTCGTGTAAAATTTTATAAAATTCGTAAGAATCCACTGGAAGAACTTCAAGAAGCAGAAATTACAATTAAATACAGATTTTCTCTCGGTACTGCCGTTTTCCTTATTGACATGGTGAAAAATGATTTGGCCGGTGATTCAAGAGGTGGATTTATACCACCCCATCTGAAAGTTTTGACTGCCATAAGAACATGGGCCCGTGGAGAGGTAATTACTATGTACTTGTTATCAATTTTGTAGGTTTTTACCTTCATTTACATTAACATCTCCCAATATCAATAGTTTTTACAATTAAGTGTATAATTATTAGTTGTTATGATTTCTTATTCAATTACTTTTGTTCTCAACACATACAAAATGAAGCAGGAAATCTAAGTGGAATGAGTCAGCGAACAATATCACTTGTATGCAAACAAGTTGCTTTAGCACTAGTAGCACAAAGAGCACAGTGGATTAAAATGCCACAAAGTGATGTGGAGCAGAACCATTTGATTGCAGGTTTTTATTTAGTATGTGAATTTAGACAAGTGATACGGAATACACATATTCGAATCCCGAAAGTCGGTGGAAATATCGGACATTACTACCTAAACAGGAAAGGATATAGTTCAATAAATGTACAAGTAAGTTTTATAGCTCGTAGCTAGCCCATGTTTGCCATATACTTACCTAGTTATATCTTAGACAGATTCAGTATAATCTACTTAACCTATTATTTCATATTAACAATGCTATGAGTACTTTGTTCCAGGTTGTGTCAAATGCTAATTTAGAGATCATGGATATAGTGGCACATCGGCGAGACAGCACGCATGACTCAAGAATATTTAATGAAAGTCGAATAAAACAAATGTTTGAGCAGTCAGAATTTAAAGGCAGGCTTCTCGGAGATTCTGGTTATGCTTGTACTCCTTATTTATTCACTCCCAATACACAAAAGAAAGAAATGTACAACCGGTCGCATATCAGGATCCGAAACACTGTAGAACGATGCTTTGGAGTGTGGAAGCAAAGGTTTCGGTGTTTACAACTAGAACTTAATACAAAATTAATGAATACAAATGTATATATTGTTGCATTGGCAATACTGCACAACATTGCAATGCACAAGCAAGATGCAGTAGAAGATAATGGAAATGTTCCAGTCACAGAATTAGTAAATAACTCCCTAAGAGGATATTCGTTACGGGCAGCATTTATTAATGAAAATTTTTAAAATAAATAATACAATATTTACATCTACAAAATAAAAAAAATTTCACCGTCAAAAGCTATGTATGTATATTTAACTTATTTTATTTTGTTATATAGAAGCCAATTCTGGCTTACAAATTTTAACAAAAAGATAAGTAAATATATAAGACAGTTATTATAATAATAATTTTTGATTTCAGACAATACTCATTTATAAAGGAAAATATTTCTGCTGCGTCATTGTCAACTGTCAAAGCATAACGACTACATACAATTTTTATCAATATGGAATAAATCCAGGGAAGGGAAACAAAACATAAACGGAAAAGCAATAATTGCTTACATAATTAAATATAATAGGAACGATTGATGAATGAATGAATTGAGGAATTAGTCTTCTAAAATGTTATAAGTAGTATAGCAGTATGTATGTATACATTTGCTAAGAAACTAAAGAATAAAAAATGTACTTACAATCCCATCTGAATCATATATATTATGACCCCTTAACACCTCTGCAAGATTTAACAAATCTTTGATTTCTATTACTCCATCGTTAGGAGTTGTAGGTCTTGCCCCACCACCTGTTTTAGTCAATTCATTTTTGTAGGTGCTGTATTTCTTCAGAGCATTTACCTTCATAGTTTTTCACTGTATTTTCAGCTGACTTAATTGTCGATGTCGGCTATTTTACTCAATAAACCTGTAAGTACAGAAGATGAACCGAAAACAACACGAGGAACAACACGTAACGCGAATCATCATCAAGCATTGAGTTCATTCACCAATCATTCAGTGACTCACTCATTTTACTTAATCACAGAGTACTTTTGTATATAGAAAATACTTAATCCCGGCGTAAGGAATGTATTGTTAGTACGAGGTTACTCCATGTTTATTAATAACATTGTAATAATACTCAGTTACTCTTAGATTAACTAGTCCAAGTGTAACGTCGAATTAAGCTTGGAATAAGCAATTTTAACAAAACAACGGAGCAAATGATCCAGCAAACGCTGAAGGACAATCCCTTAACTTCTATAGACAAGGGAACGAATGGTCATCACGCAAAACCCCAAACCGGAGAGTGTGGCGGAAAGGACGAGTTAGATCCAAATTTTCCGGAGCTGTTTACCGCCTCTTCTAATCTGGATGAAGCAACCACGCCCTCCCCAGTGCTTGCAAGATCTGAATCAAGCCTCCTACGCATCCGTGCCCAAATTAGACACGCGAAAGCTGTGGAATCTAAGGACACCTTTAGGACTACGTCAGAAGCTGAAGACACTGCGGACTCGGACGCTGACAGTGGGGATACCAATACCTCTCTTGACGCCTCCACGAGATCAATTGGGGGTAACCGAATGCTTTTGAACGAGCTGCCCAGGCACGCAAATGAAGTACTTCAGCGGGCCAAAACGGACCTTGAAAAATCTAGCAACCTAAAGAGGGAGATTCGGGAAAGTGTCGTCTCTGGGTTATACACCTTATATGAAATGATCCTTAAGTTGTCAGACTCAAGAACGCTACATATGCTCGAGTCAAACAAGCAGAAATTAAACGTCTCTCGAGAATCCGAAAGGCTCACCCAAAGGCATGCCAGGTTTATGCACGAAACTTTGGCACAATATGCCCTCCTAAAAGAAAACATAGAGAAACTACAAAAGGAAACAGAATCGACAAGGTTAATTCTCTCCTACGATCTCTGCGAGGCGATTGCCGCGACAAAGCAAGAACTGATCAATGTGAAAAACGAAATTTCATCAGGTCCGTCTCTCACAAGTCAAATACAATCACTGAGACAAGAACTAAAGCAGCTCCGAGAAAACATTAGCATCCAGCACAACCTCAATCGACACGAACTAGATATCTCACCACTCGAAAAAGAAATGCGAGAACTCCGTTCCACATTTGACCAGCTAATCTCAAAAAGGGAACTTTACCAGGCACCTATTAACAATCCTCTTGCCGAGACCCAATATCAAGAAGAGTTTGCAGAACACGCAAAAACCTCAGAGCACCTACTGCAGCATATCGCAGATATAAAGACGCAATTAAACTCTGAGGTAAAAGAGCTGAGACATAAAATCCTTGATTTGTCACAAGATGTACAAGGATTAACGACCATCAACTCCAGCTCTTCTCTACCCTCGGTACAAGCCAGTATAGAGCAATTAAGAAAGGAGACAAAAGAACTCAGAGACACGACAGTGGAATCAGCGGCTCCCATTCGAGTGGCAATAGAGGGCCTTAGGAATGAACTTAAAACTATGTCACAGACAGAAGAAACAGAACATACATGTTATAAGCCTCAATTCCCTGAGGACAACTCTTACACTATTGAACAAAATCGTTTCCCATCAATACTCAGACAAAAGAACCCTTCACGTACTTTCTCTGAGGTAGTTAGGAAGCCACATCACTCTATAATAGTAGAGTCCATCGATCCAAGAAGCACGAGCGAAGATATAATAAAGGAGGTAAAGAGCGGCATTGATGTGGACTTGGAATAGGCATTAGTAACATCAAAAAGGCAAGAAATCAAAAAGTGCTAATAAGCTGCGAATCCGAAGGGGATAGAAATATCCTACAGGATAATTTAAAGAAGACAACGGCCAAATTTACTGTCTATAAACCAACATCAAGGAATCAACTCTTACAATTGATTGGAGTTGTCTTTGACCTTACAGATACACAGATAGAGGAAGCCATCATAAGACAAAATAGTGCTCTCCTTAAAGACACCTCACTTGCACAACAATATATAAGAGTTATCAGAAGAACGAAAGGACGCACAAGTTCTACTTGTAATATCGTTTTAGAGGTGAGTCCACAGATATGGACAAAATTTAGAGACCAAAAGATTAGAATTGGTTTCCAAATAGTCCCAGCCGTCGACCAATCACCTATCACTCAATGTTTTAGGTGTCTTGGTTTCTCCCATCGAGCAAAAGAGTGTCAAGCGCAAAGAACAAACTGTGGTTATTGCGCAGAGGCACACGACACAAGAGAATGTCACAACAGAAACAAGGCACCAAAATGTGCAAATTGCATCGGAAAAAGGGGCAATTACCAAAACAGTTGTCACCCAGCCTATAGTCCAGAGTGTCCAGAATGGAGGAAGTGAGACAGAATCGCGAGAGCAACTGTATCTTATTGTTGAGAACAACGATATCTCTCAACAAAAGACCACAACCTCCAAAGACGCAATTATCAAAATTGCCCAAATAAATCTAGGGAGAGGACACGCAGCCCAACAAGAATGTTTGCAAATGGCAGTTGCTCAGGGTGTGTCAATTATCTTGTTACAGGAGCCTTATGTCGGAGCGAAAGCTCACGTCACCTGCCAACAGAATAATACAAAAACACACTAACGATAGCCAAAAACCGGTTAAAGCGGCTGTCATTGTCGTTGATCCAGCTATACATTTTACTATTAACTCCGAAACCATAACTGAAAACATTGTAGCTTGTAAATTTAGTATCAAAGGCTTAGAAATTGTTATTATAAATATATATCTGGAAGGAGGCCAAGATGTTGAAGAAGATTTCTGCAAAATAGCAAATTATATCAGCGTCCTAGAAGGAAAACATGTTCTCCTTGGAGGAGATATCAATGCTAAAAGTCCCTGGGGAGCAGCCGTGGCAGAAGCATTAGCTCAACTGGAACTCCATGTTTTAAATGTGGGAAAAATACCAACTTTCTCTGTTGACGTGACAGCGTGCACTACTAGCTTGCTTCGCAAAACATTTAATTGGAAGGTGAATCCGGAATTTGTCACACTTTCAGATCACAGGGCGATAATGTTCAACCTGAACTTTGCAAACATCAGAGTAGAAGCAAAAGAAAGACGATCTACGTGCACTTGTAATACAAAGAAAGCTGACTGGAACAAATTTTCGGATAAATTTAAAGAAGAACTTAGCTCCGTAAATATAACCGAGGACAAAATATTAACCACAGAATCCATAGAATCCATGGAAATCCTTGCAAAACTATACAAAGGTCATGTAACAAAACGATTCCCAATACTGCTAAGAGAGTACCCACAAAAACACTTTGGTGGACTAAAGAACTCAGTGAAAAGAAAAAAGATGTAACTAGGAAAAGAAGAAAGATAAGATTTGCAAACCAAAGGAGAAGACCAATCGTAATCGAGGAATATTTTACAGCCAAAGCTGAATATAAAAACCTATTAACCGAAACGATGACAGCAAGTTGAAAGGAGTTTTGTTCCAGACAGGATAAAGAGAATTTGTGGCAGGGTATCTACAGAATAATACGCAAATCCAGTAAAACTCCTGAAGACTCACTTTTAAGAGCGACTCCGGAAAGTGGAATTTTAACCCCGGACAAACTTGCCCAGCTCTTAGCTGAAACATTTTATCCGATCGACGAAATCACAACTGATGAGCCCCAACAAACGGAAATTAGAAACAGATCTAGTGTAATTAGGAAAGACCTATTGAGCATCTCAAATGATAAAACTGTGATACCTTTTACACTCACTGAGATCGATAACGTCTTCAGTAGTATGAGCCCAAAGAAATCACCAGGAGAAGATGGACTAACCGCTGATATATGTTTCAGGGCATATATGACGGCACCGCAAGTACTATCAGCCATCTACAATAGATGCCTAACCCTGGGGTATTTCCCGCGGATAAGGAAAAATGCTATCATAAAAATCATCCCGAAGGCGAACAAGGAGAACTATACACTAGCTAAATCTTACCGGCCAATAGGACTCCTACCTGTACTGGGCAAGGTGTTAGAAAAACTATTTGTTAACCGTATGACATGGCAGCTCGGCTCAGAAAGTAAAATGAGTGGTAGGCAATATGGGTTTGTCTCACAGAGAGGGACTGAGGACGCCCTATGCGACGCCCTCGAGATTGTCAGGCAAGGATTAATGAATAGAGAAATTGTCGCTCTTATCTCCATCAATATCGAAGGAGCTTTTGATAACGCTTGGTGGCCTGCAATGATAATTGAGTTCGAAAGGAAAAAAGTCGACAGATCAG